ACTTTTGTCGCAAATTTTTAAACGACGATTTCAAAATAAGGCACAATCCATTCAACCAAATGTTATGAAGAGTAAATAAAATCATCCCACGCTGTTGGTATGGTGGGTTTTTTGGACGTGGTCTTTTAAAGAACTACGACATCCATTTGAGCTCATCCTTTCTGATTATTTTTAACTTTTTTGCACATTCAAACAATCTTATACGCACACTTGTTAATTATAGTACGTCATAAATGAAACTCAAGCGTGCAGCAAGCGGATCCGTAAAACCAGTTTAGAGTTATTATGAAATGGAAGCTATTAATCTTGTCGCGATAGTGAAGGACGGAAGATAGCACACTTTCAAAAGAATAACTGCACTATGAAATCAACGCAGCTGTTTTCAACTTAAGCTCATTGCCAACGCAAATGCCATCATGTTATCGCACTTGAGGACACGACTGATCTAAGTCAGATCATGCAGGAAACATAACAGAGAACATTCTTCCAGAGATATCAACTCAGTTATCGTTATCAGATAGACATTTCACTCCGATAACTGGCTTGTACTGCCTGACAGACTGAAAATATAAACAAGTCAATGTGTCCTGAAGGCATCAAACGCCGTTTTTAGAACAGATGCGTGCAAAACGTATGCTTTTTACGATCACCTGACACGAGCAAATGTTGTCCTCTTATGTATACGTAATCTTACCTCAGCTACTGTAATCTCAGTCCAGTCAACTTAATTATAGTTACGTAGATTAGTTTTACCTCAAATAAACATTAACTGTTTATTTAACCCTTTTGCTCTGATGTAGCTTGCCCTAAACTACCGCTTGTCAGCACGTCTTCTATAAGTAAAAAATACCAAAAATCATGTGCGTAGTAAGCTCTTAGACTACTTATTTCGATGACTGCAGTAATTACCTTTAGACATGATCATGTCTAAACTCGTAAGTTTTATTTACAATCTTAACTAACAGCGAAACTTTAACGTTTGTAATTTGCGGATTCGGTCGGCATGCATCATTGAAAGGAAATGCTTTTTGCCTTTCCGACCATACCCGGCTGTGTTGGTCATTGTTGTTTTCACGGCTTAGTGTCTTTGACTGACGAATGTGATCGAAACTGCTGGATTTATTTTGTTAGTCTACGTTTTGTTTTGTGCGCAGTCAAAATATTGACTACTCTTGCACCTCCCAAAGCTGTTGTATTGAATGCGCTTACGTGTGCTTGAGTGGCAGAGAAGAATTTGTGTTTGCTTCTTTCTTCAATGTGCCACTGTTTTCTAGTTGGGGTGGTCGGCGACGTCAGTCTTCTCAAATCGAAATTTATTAAGGCAAAACAAATAGAACAAGCTTTTCTGCAGGAGAGCGGTTAAACAGGAAGTGGTAGCACACTGCCACACCGTCCGTGCATATTTGTATTCGTATTTCAGATAGAAAATGCGATATATGCAGTGTTAAATGCGCAGCTAATAATGTGTAGGGCTTGTCTACATTATTGTAAATTTCCCCGGCCTTTAAACGAAAGAAACGGGAAACTTTATCTTTTACTAACCAAAACCCTTGGCCTATCCCAATGAACCCTGGTCCTGAAAGGCCAGAGACCACCGCTGCCGTAGATGGTAGCAGATGACGCTGTTACGACAACATTTATCATTGAGCAGGCATTTAACTGCAGAAGGAAGTAGGCAGGACATCATATGACACTGGAGTAACCGTTTACGTCGTATTAGGCGCTGTCATTCACACACCTACAACCGCCGGCCATGATAACTTTGAAGCCCGATACCTTTGGTCAGTGTGGATTAAATTACACGCACCTTCTTTAGACGAAAGCCTACGAGAGTTCATAAAGGAACACTAAGGTCGGATGTGCTCACTGCCTCGCCCGCTTGGGAAATGGTTGGAGGGCTTTTTATCTGTGTACTCCGAGAGTCATCAGACCGACCACCCGACGAAGGTTCAATCACCTTCCCTCGACGAAGTGGTGATTCGCAAAACACGCAGGTAAATAGGCCCGCCAACCACCCTTCTATGGGCCAAGGCAGTGAGAGCAGAAAAAATCTATTAGCATGAAGTCAGCAAACGCGGAATGCTACTTTTGCAATAGGGAGCCGACTATGTTGTTTGAAACCTCAGCGTCTAAATAGACTCGTTCCAGTGAGCCCATCTCTTTCTTTAAATCATTATCTCCCCATTTTCCCAATCGGACTATATTAGCTTAATGTGTCTCATGGCATAGATTTTATGGAGCCAGAAGATAAAAAGTTAAGAGGCACCGATGAGTTACAGCAGCGCCTTTAGTTGAAATTGGTAAAATAGCTAATTTCTGATTGTCTTTGTCGAAGTTTTTTCACTCACAAAATGTAATGCTCATTGGTAACCACAGAGAGGTTAAGATATAAAACATAGGCAGGACTCGATATTCTACCCATATACGCTTCTATATCTGGGGCATTTGTGTTTATGTTCGGCCGCAAAGTCCGGTTGCTGATCTAAAATTTGCCCAAAAGGGCGAGAAGCCGAGTCGCAGGTAGCAGTCGTGAAGAAGGAGCAACGGCCGCTGAGATAAGAGCTTTATTCGCCTAATTTTTCGGGTTCCGGCTCGAACCCATTATCAGAGAAAATAGCAGATACGGGCGATTCATTCACAGGGGCGGCAGTATTTGTAGGGTGCAGTAGCCATGCTACCACATACGTAGGGGTATTCACGGCTCCCACACCCCCCCCCCCCTCTTCATCGGGGATCGTTGCACTTGGCGTGCTAATTGTTTTATGGCCGAAATTCGCGCCGTTAATTGCTGCAACTTCATCACTTGCGTTGGGTGTTGGTGTGATGATTGCTCGACCATCTGACCCGCCGACCCTGGCGCTGGAAACAGTGTTTACCTGTGTCCTTCCCGCGTGGCTACTTACTCCGCCTAGGCGAAGTCCCAGCACCGAATGTGGAAGTGGAATGTCGTTATACTTGTTAAAAGACTGAGGACCAGTAGTTCATGACTCAAGCAGTTCCCGGCTCACGCTGTTGTCACCTCTAGCGAGAATCTCGGCCACGTCGGATTTTAATGTGTGACCGATCTCGTTAAATGAGCCGCAATCTGAGAGCTGGCCCCCCGTACATGAACCACCCCTATCTGCAATTGTGTCTAATGATAGGTTCGAGAAGGAATCCGAAACGCCAGGCGAATAAAGCTCTTGTCCCAGCGATCTTGTCTCCTTCTTCACGATTTGAAATTTGTTAGCTCAAATGTTTAAGCCACAAATAAGTCTGTGTTAGCGGGCGGGCTGAGAAGTTCGTGTCGGGTATTCACTTGACAGCAGTGTATTTGGTTGTTGTTGTTGTTGTTGTTAATGTGCGGTAGACAGCTACGAATGTAGCAGTGAGGGACTTCCAGATATGCAATATTTTCTGTAAGCTGTCACGACATACGTTTTGGATTCTGCTCTATTTTGTGAAAAGCTCACGCCGTGGAAGCATGGATTTTGCAAGTACGTACTTAAAACGACTACCTGAGTGCATACATGGGAAAAGTGAAAAACTGGTATAAATTCCATATGTTCACTGCAGAGAGAATACTTGTGAATAAACCTTGCCTGAAAACCGGGTGTTCTGTTTGTTGGCGGGCCGAGTGGGTTTGTTAAGCTCTATTAGTCACTTTTACTCGATTCCTGCATCGTGTAGCTGGCCAGCCACAGGGCTGGTGGCTGGGTGCGAAAAGGTGGAGAAAGGCCCACTTTGAAGACTCGGTGTCAGTGCTGCTTTATCTCATCTCGTCCATATAAACATTGTAACGTGCTTGCAATCCATCACGATGCGCTAAAAGCCGTGATATGAGAGGCTGCCAACTGGCGCGATGGCTCGGTTCTCTCAGGTGGGAGAATCAGGCCACACTGTCTTCTTCGGGCCGACGAGAGCCCAGGCACTACTGAAGGTTTCTGTATAAACCAGGTTAGCGTGACATGCACAGACCTTCTGCCTGTTCTTCCCTAGCCACTGCCCCTGATTCCACCTCCAGACACCCTCATCTAGTCTTACCAAAGCACCCAAGAGTATAATGCAGGTGAGAGTGTGGTAAACTCTGCGCAAGTCAGCCATCAACACAAAGTAACCCGCGAACAGTCGAAATCGTTACGTCCATCCCACTATAGAATTCTTTATCATTACGTCTACTTCAAGTGCTTTACTAAAAGAAAGGATATATATATAAGGACGAAAGGGCGCTCACCAATCGTGTTACAGAACTCGCACGCCCTATTGTGCCTTAGGGTTTTCTTTTGAGCCCAAGTAGCAGCCGCACAGCGGCGGGTAATATAGGCAACTTAGCATTATCAACAAAGACAAGGGAACTTCCGGTCTTTATTTCAAGCCCGATCCAGCCTCTGGTCTTCCTGACTTTATTATGACACCGGCCACGGGTGAGTGGAGGATGAGAGAATGTGGTAGATTCAGCAAAAGTTTACTATCGTTATAAATCATTTCAGGTGTACGTCACCGTCCCTGGGCACAAGATGAACATCGTCACCCGCAACGGTCGGACTGACGGGTTTCCTTAGGACCTATTTTGCCTGTTCCTGCGATGGAGCCTGGATGTGTTTTCTTTTCGCGAATCAGCTGCGCTTGCCCCAAAGCGCTTAGCCGCTTTTAATTGCACATCATCTATCCAAACACATTTCAGAAAAATTTTGTTTTCTTAACCTCCATCTCTAATTTAAAGAAAAAAGAAATGCAGTTTCGACAATTAACCGCGTGTCGTTTAAATGTAATGGCAAATATGCATTATATGAAGAAAGAATTTAGTTTCCGTGTACACATGCCATGTATTAGTAATGTCTGGTAGTAAAGTAATGTGGCGATACAAGTGTCCACAGGTAGGTCACATTGCATCTAAACTGTGTTAGAAAATCTCCCTGACTCCCATCACTATCACCCTACTGGACATTGATATGCTCTGAAATATCGCAAATACTTGAAAGTCTAAATTGGTCTTGGTAAAAGGGACATTCATTTTGAATATGCCACCAGCTGGTTTCGAGGATGATGCCGCCTTCTTTAAGTCTGATGTGGAATCAATTCGTCATCAAAACGACTACGCCGGCAGTATACATCCGCAACCTTCGGCTGATGGCGATGTCGTTTATGTTTCAAATGACTCTGGAGTTCATTCCCAACACGAGACTTCAAAGGACGACTTTATCGAAAGTGAAAGTCGGAATAGAGGAGATTCGGCGAAGTCTGACGATCTCACCATCCGCCAAATAAAGTAAGTGTCAAGTACATGGTTTTTTCTTGCCGGATACCTTCGTCACCTGAGTGTTTCGACTGCAGACTTGTACAACTTTTTTGAAATCTTGTAGTTGAATTCTTGACGTTCACTCAGCTTAGTGCATGTGACATAACCGCTCGTCCATGGTTATGAAACATATTGTTGTCGGTAGTTGATGCCCATAGCATCATCTGTACTTATTAGATAAGGAAACTCGAATAAATGTCTCGCATATGTTCAAGGCGACATTTCTTCAAAACCGTTTAGTAAACAAAATCTTCCAAAAATGAATGACTCCTAGTACTTTTGCGGTTAAACATGTCAATCATAAAGTTTGGCCAACAGGGACCAGTACGTGCAGAGCTTACTAATGCAAAAACACACTGAACGGCCAAGGGCGACGTACGAGTAGTTGAAAATAACATTTCATTGAGTAATTTGCCAAACCCCGTCACTTGAAATGCAAGTGAAATCGCAAGGTACTGTGGAAACTACAAACTTAATGACTCATGTATACCGAGTCTAATTACTGTCTGTCTAGATACCGAAAATTTGCACCATGCTAGTTCTCCAAAATCCGTTCTTTCCGTAGTCTTATCAAAAATTTAAAAGACGACAGAATCCAAGAAAACCTATGTACATAATTTGTTTGGCATGCCCCGCAGGGTAAAGGAGCATAAGCATGCCTACGGCGGTTGCTGTATTAGCGGCGGTAAAGATTATTCTAGGTAAAACGTACAGGAGAATTTTCGGTCTGTGAAATTAGTAATTATGTTCTACTCCTGCTCCCTTCTCCTATTCCGTTTTCCTTTACGAATTTCCGACCAGTAATTCACCAAATGTTTATAGCACCACTGGGGAAAAACGGACTGGACGCAGCCGACGAGCAGTCACGTCCGTAAGAGAACACGTCTGGCCATTAGGCATAATTCCTTATGAAATTGGACCACAATTCAACGGTGAGTATGTTGCGCAAATTGAGGATATTACTTGGCAAATGCCCTGATGACGAGATTAACTGCAATGTAAAGTGCAGAAGTCAAGCATCTTTGTTGTAAACACCAACACAAATTCGGTCAGTGTGAAGTTATCAAATTAGCAGTACCATATACTTTAATGCCAAACAAAGAGAATTAAGTCCGCTGAAAGACAATTTAAAGCTGAGCATATATCCACAAGTAGGGGCAGACTGCATAGGTACAGAAATAAACATGCGTCTGTAAGTTTGCATTGAAAGTTTGGTATCCCATAAAGCAAAAGTTGGGGAAAATACGTTCGCTAGAAATTGCAAATGAGTGTTTTTTGGGTTTCAAATGTCGATTCGCCAAGCCGGAATCAGGCATGCGGTAAACTGGAAGAGGGAATGAACATTAAATCCTATCTGAACAGGCAATAGTTATTGCTCATTCCTGCCTATAATCCGTCGGCGCTCGGATTGGCTTGTCGCCTTTCCCACTTCTTATGTGGGAGTGTTGTGCGCCTTGCCTGCTAAGGTGTGCCTATTAGGCCGCAGGTCATTGGAATACACGGCCTTAAAACGGATCCGGTCCTTACTAGATAATCAGGCACCAACACTGCCAGTATTGTCCCAGGGAGAATTTTGTCCAGTTTCCAGCGTAACTTGACTAAAAGTTGTCTTTCCTGTTTAATCTCAATTGATTTTTGCTAGCGCATGTTCGCCTGGGCATGTTCAACTGCCAGTTTCATTACAGAGCCGCCACCCAATAAAGGTCAGATGGCCCTTGCAAACGTTTTAGATTTTATAAAATAAGCAATCCTGCACTTGGAATCATGCGCTGGTTGTGTAATGCAATTGTCTGCTTGTGCGTCACGTGCATTTGGTTCTCCCGCTTGTGTGGACTGTGTCGCCTGTGCGGTTAACTGCAATAAACATGAAGACAAACGATTACAGTCGCGTTTTGGAGAATACACCAGTACAGTAAGGAGGATGGACTCCTGGTGTAGCAACACATCGCGGGCTCTCAGCAAAAACTCACCTGCCAGATTATGGGAACTCTGGTTCAAAGAAATAGCCGCATAGCCTGGAAAACCGTCAAGGCCTGACACACGAAAATAACCTGCATCAAGCGTTGCAAGCGAAGCCAATGTATAGGTGTGCGCCCATTCCTGAGTGAATATATACAGATAATGCTAGGGGGCGCTCACCGATCGTTCTTACGGAACTCATCCGTTCCGTTGTGTCTTAAGTGCTCTCTCTCTCTCGACCCGAACCAACAGCCGCACAGCGGCGCATGATATATAGGAAGAATGGTATTACCGACAAAGACAAGGGAGACTGGAATGGCCATTTCTGGCTTATTAGCCGTCGTCAGCCAGTCATACCCAAGTCCGAAGTGTGGAACAGCCGAGCCTCGAACTCGCCATCGAAAACCGACAGGGCAACGGGCTCGTGGCCCGGTGGGTAGAGGCGTGGACTTCTAAACCAACAGGTCGCGAGTTCGAGGCTCGGGTGTTCCACACTCCGGGTTTGTGAGTGACTGGCTGACGATGACTAACAAACCAGAAATGACCATCCGAGTCATATCGAGTTGGACGCCGCGTACAAAAGTCTCAAGGAGAAATGGAAGAGACGTGAGCCAATCGGGATGGATTGACGCAAATAGCGGCCGCTCACGGGCGCAAACGCGAACGACTATCGATTTTTTGTGTGCACTGCCAGATGTTAATTAATGCTGGCACATTTAGTCTCACTCTGCGTCTGACGACGGCCTGGGGAATCAGCGCCGATAATTCACTCAATAAAGTACCCTTTCCCAATGAACGTCTCTGCCTTCAACATATATATATATATATATATATGGATATAGGCAAAAATGCTGCACCCAAGGTGTTAATATGGAAGATGAGGATGAGGCGATCTCTGGGGAAGAAGGTTTATTCATCTGACTTTTCGTGTTCATACTCGAGCACATCTTCGGAGATAGGCTGAGCGAGAAATTCGGGGTTTAAATAGGCCATCTGCACTCTCACCCGATAGGTTCGTCCCGTTCGCTTCTCGTTGGCCCCCCTCTCGCGCGTAGATGGTGCCTGACGGCCTCGTATGGCGCTGGCAAATCGATACTTCGGTTGATAGAGTTCGTGTCTGATTTCCAGGCCTCGATTACTTCACTCGACAGTTTGCTTTCGGCTCGGCCGAGCACCTGGGCGCCGTCAGCGACACACACATCAGCACAGAAGCCGAGAAGCTGCGGGAGCGTAAAACCCTATGGCGCCTCTTCCTTGCCAATGGATATCCACGCAGTTTTGTGAACAAATGCTTGTACCGAAGGCACACGAAGACGGACGGTGAGAAGAAACAAAGACCAGAAATCTTCCGTGTCTTGCCCTACGTGAGTAACGTCTCCGAAGCCACTGAGCGCATACTAAGGCCGCTAGGCGTGGGCGTTGGTCACCGACCGGAGGCCAACATCCGCCGCTTAATCATGCAGCCCAAGGACCGGCTACCACCTGCAGACACGTCAGGCGTCATTTACCGCGTCAAATGTCTGGACTGTCCAGCCAACTACTATGGCATGACCGACAAACGCCTAAGAACGCGCATGCATGAGCACACTTTGGCCGTAAGGCGAAAGGACGTACTATCGCATGTCGCCATGCACTGCCTGGAAAACAATCACAAGTTCGACTTTGACGGCGCCCAGGTGCTCGGCCGAGCCGAAAGCAAACTGGCGAGGGAAGTAATCGAGGCCTGGAAATCAGACACGAACTCTATCAACCGAAGTATCGATTTTCCAGCGCCATACGAGGCCGTCAGGCACCATCTACGCGCGAGAGGGGGGCCAACGAGAAGCGAACGGGACGAACCTATCGGGTGAGAGTGCAGATGGCCTATTTAAACCCTGTATTTCTCGCTCAGCCTATCTCCGAAGATGTGCTCGAGTATGAACACGAAACGTCAGATGAATAAACCTTCTTCCCCAGAGATCGCCTCATCCTCATCTTCCATATTTATATATATATGAAGATAGAAATCTCCTTGGAAGAAATTGAGTTGTTCAACTCCATTTCTTCCGATGAGAATTCCCCCTTCATCATATTATCTCCGAACGCATATGAATTGAATGGTTAAGGCAGTATGCATTCCGAAATAATACGATGAATGAAGACCGAAGAATAAGGTTAATCCAGAAACGAACGATCGCCGGAAACGTGTTAACACCAGCCACCCGATGCATACTGAGGACATACCATCGCTAGAACCTCGTCAAAAATCCCAGCTCTCGTTGAACTTGAGTTTCTAAATTGTAGTCCAGGGTCAAATACTCTCGCGAGATGCCTCTTGTAGAAATTGTCAGACGACCGGATACACTGTCATTTCCTGGAACGAGATTTTCGGCATTCCCGCATGCGAGCTTTTGTAAAAAAACCCGCGAGATGTTGCCTCAGAAGAGATCATGAATCCATCCTCCTTACTGACCTCGTGCGTTCTACAACATGGCGCTATAATCGTTTGCGTTCCTTTAATTGGAGAGGAGTTACATTGGACACAAGCACTCTGAAAAACACTTGTGGGAGGACCAATTAAAATCGCCGCACAAACAGTTCGCTACAATTTCGTGATTTTATGTGCATTATTATTAGAAGTCTCTAGTAATCAATGGGCAATTCTCTTCAGTGTTGTTTTCTGTTTTATCTTCGGTGCTTGACATCGGTTTCAGTGAATTCCGAGCACCGTGATTTCGTGCAACTTGAATGGTAAATAAGTGTTTTATCTTTACTAAGGCTACTCGAGAGCGATCATCTTAAGGGCAATGCGAGTGTGGGAGAGCCTCACGTGTCTCTCTTTCGTCGAACGGGAGCACCATCACAAGGCCTACATTAAATTCACAGTTGAAGTTTGTGGGTAAATATTTATGACTAAATAAAAAATGTGTGCGTAGGCAAAAAATACCAACAGTTCATGCATATGGTTTAATCTTAATAAAAATCTCCATTTCTTTCCCGCTTCCCAATGTCGCAATATATATATATATATATATATATATATATATATATATATATATATATATATATCATGTATATCATCCCCCGAGGAAGACGAAGAAGAGAAATCGATTTCATGGACCAGGTTGTATTCAGACTGACGTTTCGGAAACACACTCGTTTCCATCATCAGAGTCGTGCGCTGACGTTTCCTGCTGGCCTTGATCTGTCCAGCCTTGCCGCCTGCCTCGTATTTTAACCGTGCACAGCGCACGTTTGTTGTCTTGCCTGCTTTCCGTTGGCTGATTGTCACCTCCCTGATCTCAGCCATTGGTGGACTGGCGTGGCTTTTGTCCCCCTCACGCCTAACGTGGTTGCCGCTGCGTCGGCGTGCTCGTTCGCCTCCCCCTCGTCAGATGGCGGGCTGATCGGTCTTTGTTTCTCAGGCGTGGTGTTTCCGGCCTCGCGAGTACGTCCGTGAGAGGGTGTCCCACGCCGGTCACGTGACATTCGGTCAGCGCCTTCTCCTCTCTCCGCGAGCGTCGGTGGTCGACCCCGTGTGACTCTTTGCATCCGTGTCATCGGCCCTGCGTGGACTGACTCGAGTCTTGCGCGGAGCGCCTGGTAGGCTGGATGTAGGTCTATGGCCCGATTGAGTGTGCCAGTCGAGGACCAACTTTCCAGCATTAGTCTGGCCATTTTATCATTGGCTCGGCCGATCACACTCGCTTTCTCGAAGGCAAAACAGTGATTCCGCTCTAGTGTGTGGCCATACACCAACGACAGCTTATCCTTGCGGTTGATTGCCAGGTGGCGCTCGTGCAATCTTGTGCCGAAGCGACAATCAGCCAACGGAAAGCAGGCTAGTCAACAAACGTGCGCTGTGCACGGTTATAATACGAGGCAGGCGGCAAGGCCGGACAGATCAAGCCCAGCAGGAAACGTCAGCGCACGACTCTGAGGATGGAAACAAGTGTGTTTCCGAAACGTCAGTCTGCATACAACCTGGTCCATGAAATCGATTTCTCTTCTTCGTCTTCCTCAGGGGATGTTATACATGGTAATATATCTGGACCTCGCATCTTCACGCATACTGATATATATATATATTCCGAATGATAGAGAATACGCGCGGCCCAGGTAATTGCATAGAAGAAGACGGGAAGGCGATCGCTGGGACCAATGGTTTATTTATCCGACGTTTCGAACTCTCACGCGAGCCCATCGTCAAGGAATGAAAAAACTGTACAGCTCGTCGTGTATTTAGCTCACCTCTGCCGGGGGTGACCTCTAGCTGCGCTGTTGATTTGTTCTCGCAGTGCTTGATAGGCGATTGGCAGATCGATATGTCGATTAATCGCGTCCTGAGTTGAGTGCCACGCTTCCTGCATCAGGCGCGCAACTCGGTTGTCTGACTGTCCTAGTATTCTCACGCTCCCAAAGTCAAAGGCGTGTCCTGGCGAGGAGGCGTGGGCGGCTACCAAAGAGAGTTTATCCTTCCGTCTCACGGCCAATTCATGCTCATGCAATCTCGTGCGGACCTGTTTTCCGGTTTCACCAACATAACTGGCCTGACCGCAATTGCAGCCTATGCGGTAAATGACCCCCGATTTCTGATTTGTGGGAATCGGATCCTTGGGCTGCATGAGTTGCCGGCGGATTGTGGCTTCAGGTCTGTGCGCGACGCCGATCCCAAATTCGCTCACAAGTCTGGCGAATTCTTCTGACAAACCAGCTACGTACGGCACTGCGCGCCAGCACTTCGGTTTCGGCGGCCCCTTCGATTTTCTTCCCCGAGTTTCTCGCCTGCACTTTTCGACGAAATTCCCAGGGTAGCCGTTCATGGTGAAGAGTCTCTTTAGTAACTGAGCCTCGGCCTTCTTGTCGGCTGGTTCTGTGCAATGGGTTTCTACCCGCCGATAGAGTGTTCTTACGCAGCTGTGTTTGTGCGAAAGGGGGTGGTTGCTGAGAAAACTCAGAATACGAGAGGTATTTGTCGCCTTTCGGTAAACTGTTGTTTTTACTCCCCCGTCACCTTTTCTCTGGACTAGTACGTCGAGGAACGGCAACTGGCCATCTTTTTTCTCCTCCATCGTGAACTGGATATCTGGGAAGATCGAGTTCAGATGTTGCGTGAATTCCCCAATCCTGTCCCGATTGATGATGACAAATGTG